TTACTTATACCATGTCCCATGTTTAACTTCTTTGTTGAATATTGGTTTGCACTTGTTTATCATGTTGCCTAAATCCAAGGAGAGGGCTTATTATTGACATTATTGTCATTTGCATATACATGTTTACATTCTTGTACATATTTCACATGTCTCATTATTATTTGACTTGCTATCCCTTAGGATTATTATCAACTTAGGCAACTCAAATTTGGGTTTCTCCCCCCTTACACTCAAAACCACTCTCAATAAATACTTTGACTTTAGGTCATTGATCCTTTCAACTCTTTTTCTTAACAAGTGCTTCAAGACGTCTTAAGCATATTCAAACTCTTTCACAAAGACTAAAAGACACCAACTTCAATTCAAACCTTTTGCCACTTTGGATTTTCAATTTAAAACCTTTTCAAATAGATTAGACATTAGTCATCCTTAGTTGAGATGTAATTCTCCTACCCCATGATATTGTGAGAAAGATGTTGATTCTTTTCCACTTGAGAGAGGTATGTGGCATACTTGTTGATTCTACATCCAAGTTAGAGCCATTATCTTAATGTAAAACAAAGTCCCCTCTTCCACATATTTATGGTGGTTTAGATGAGTATTCTTCTTAAGATGACAACTTGTCTCTTCTTCAAAATCCACCATAACAAACCCTTTTCAATTTGTACCCCGAGCTATGAGGTTTTGATCCTTTATTGGTACGTAGGTACAAGACTTTGTGTCTTGCCAAACACAAAAATAATAAAAAACACTTCTCCTCTCATCTCTCCAATAAATCCCAAATAGAAAACAACCTTAACAATAACACAAATACAACAAGAGGTTCTTATATGATACTATAAAAACTTAGTGTGCTAATATTTTCCCTTAGTATAACTAACCCCCGAACCTTAGATCTCTTTATTGCTTTGTTTTGCATTGCATATTTATGAGTTATTCTTTCTTTACCCATTCCCTTGGATAAATTAAAGGTCGGTGGTGATATCTTAAGATTTGTGAAGTCTAGCTAACTCAATAGTCATAGTCTCTGATTCTCACTGCGACGACTTGGTTTGACTTATTGTAGGCTTTATGGGCACACTGTTGAAACCACCATGCATGCACTTCGTGACTCTCCTAAGGCTATAGATATTTGGTGGCATCATGTTCCTATGGATATTTACCATAAGTTTTTTAATTTTGAATTGGAGGATTGAATCTCTCTGAATGTTAATTATAATCCCAAGAAGGTTGTTGAGTGAAGTTCATTTTGGGTTATGGCTTGTTACTCGCTTTGGTTCTAGCGTAACCAAGAAGAGCATATCGAGGAGTTTGTAAGGCCAAGTCACGATTTTGTGCATGTGTTCATTCAGTTGAGAGAGTATGCTGAAGCCTTGGCTATGGACAATAAGGTTGTTGGTAGAATTAAGGAGGCTAGACAAATTAAGTGGGTGCCTCCCTGGTTAGGCATGGTGAAACTTAATGTGGATGAAGCTTGCATTGAAGGAGTTACTGCTGGTTGTGGGGGATTGATTAGAAATGAGGAGGGCTGTTGGTTGAGAGATTTCTCCAAGAATACGGGGAATGTAGTAGCTATATTGCTAAGGTATGAGGTATTCTATAAGGATTGATGTTTGCTTTAGACTTAGGTTTCAAGAAAATTGAAGTTAATTCCGATTCTTCTGAGATTGTTTTAGAGATTAATCAAGGTAGAGCAAATATAAATGATGGTCTAGAGATGCTTCGGAAGATTGAGAATCTTTTAAGTCGTTTTGATGAGGCTTCTGTTTCACACACCTTCAAGTAAATAAATCAATGTGATGATGCCCTGACTAAAGCTGAGTGTAATTTAAATATGGACTTCACCTGTTTCTCCATTGCTCATAGTTTCATTGAGCAATTGCTATTATTAGAGGATAAGTTGGGAGGTTTCACCTCTAAAAAAGTGTTTTTGTAGTTTGTTTTTCTTTGGGTCTATAGACCTCACCATTATAAAAAAAAAACTAATAAAATGTAAGAATGACATACCAAATATTTATTAATAAAATTTAAAATTAAATTCATTGAAAAAAATAATTTATTTTGTGTCTTAAGTCATTAATTAGAGATTAAACAACCTTTAAAATTTCTATTTATTATTACATAATATTAATAATTAACAATTGAAGTAATTTTTTTTTAATTTAAAAAAGAAATAATTTTAGACGAAGAGAAGGCCATCATCCCACCATATGAAAATGCGATTCAAATAGTTTTCCCAATTTGAATTTAAAATTAAAACCACCAAACATTCAACCACATCACCAACTTCAAATTTAAAACCATTTCATTTTCATTTTTGGCTCCTAACACAAAATTTAAAATCTCCAAAACACAAAATTTAAAATCTCCAAAACACAATACAACAAGGTAACAAAAGATTCAAGAACTAGAACAAGAACAACATGATGGAAACACGCTCTGCAAAGAGAAAATCCAACCACCAGAATCAACCCATCAAGAAAAAGCGTGTCGTGTTAGGAGAACTTCCCAATTCAACCAATCTCACTGTTCCTCAAAAAAACATTTACCCAAGAAAACCAACACCGGGGAAGAAGAAGAAAATCCCTAGTGAAGATTTTGATGGCCCAGTTGTTTCAGAGATTTACATGTATCTTCGTTCAATGGAGGTAACATATTTGTGTTATTCGATGTTGTTGTTGTGGGTCTTGTAATACTGTTTCAAAATTGTGTCTTTCTTGTGTTGGTTGTAATGACGGAGAGAGATTCTACTTGTTTTTCTTAGATGGAGAAAAAGAGAAGACCCATGATGGATTACATGGTTATGGTTCAGAGAGATATTACTCCACATATGAGAGGGATTTTGGTTGATTGGTTAGTTGAGGTTGCGGAAGAATACAAGCTTGTTCCTGATACACTTCATCTTGCTGTTTCGTACATAGATAGGTTTCTGTCTTTTAATGATATCAATAGGACCAAGCTTCAGTTGTTGGGTGTTTCGTCAATGCTCATTGCATCGTGAGTCTTCGTGATGTTGTTTGAATTTTGCCGAATGATTTATCTTCTTCAGCATTGTGATTGATTTTTTGATTTGTATAGGGAACATGAGGAAATAAGCCCGCCTTATGTGGAAGAGTTCTGTTTTATAACCGACAATTCCTATAACAAAGACGAGGTAAATATCCAAAACCATTCCTTGCTTTGTTTGTTGCAAAATAGTGACATTACGAACATGATGAGACACAAATGGTAATTGTTTGAATAATTTGGTTAGGAGTTTGATCCCTTGCTGCTATGTATGAAAAACCTATGTGGGGAGAGATCAACCCCTTAAAAGTATCTAAATTACTTCGAGGGATTAGTTTTTCTATAGTTGTGGGAGTTTACTTTGATTTGTGTCAATGCTCACTCACTTTGCCACCCTTGTTTTTTGCTATCATTGCAGGTTTTAGAGATGGAAAGTGCCATACTCAAAACTTTAGATTTTGATACAGCTAATCCCACTGTTAAGACTTTTCTAAGGCAAGAGATTGCCAAATCTGTTTGTTATTCTGTTTTGCAAATGTTAATTATGGAAAAAGAAATTTGAAAGCACAATAGACTAATTATGTGAAGTTTATGTGATACAGGAGGTTTAATGAAATTGCTTGTGAGAAAAAAAATGTGAGTTTCATTTTTTCATTAACGATGTTTTGGACATTTCAAAAGTGTTGTTAAGTATTCTGATTGAAGCTTGTTTGTTTTTTCGCTTTTTTTTCTTAGGCTTCAAGTTTGCAGTTTGAGTTCTTAAGTAACTATCTTGCTGAGCTAAGTTTATTGGATTGTGTTTGTTTGAGGTTCTTGCCTTCTTTGGTGGCTGCGTCTGCCACACTGCTTGCTCGATTCATCGTTTGGCCTAAAGCTTATCCTTGGGCAAGTATTTGATTAAATAGCTGATAATTTACTTTTTATGTAAAAAAAATTAGTATTGCCAATAAACATATACAATTCAATGCATTTATGAAGTTTATTCTTTGGTCTGTTGCAGACACCAGCACTGCAAGAATACTCTAGATATAAACCAGATGAGTTGAAAGAATGTGTTCTCATCTTACATGATTTGTATATGGCTAGAAGGGAAGCTTCATTTGATGCTTCTCGAGAGAAATACAAGCAGCACAAGGTGATTATTTTTTAATCGCGTTCCCTAGACTTTATTAAATTATTGTGGCAAGTTTCATAACATGATATCTTTATGTTGCAACAGTTTAAACATGTGGCAAACCTGCCTTCGCCTCCTCATTTACCAAGTTCTCTGTTTGAAGTAGAGTGAAGTAATTGGATGAAACTTGGTTATTTTCTTGAAGTGGTATGTTTTATGCAAGAAGCATGCTACATTGGCAAAGGGCTTGAATATGACTTTACTAAGAAGTAATTTCGATGCCGAATATCAATTTTGTGGAGGTTATATGGTATATGGAAGTTAACTTAATTGGCTATTAAGTTGTGGTCAAGACATCTTTAGTTTTTCTAACCTAGTTAGGTATTGGATTTGTAGTAGCTTTAATTCAAGTTGCAGTTACATTGTAAACTTCCACTTTAGAAATAGCAAGGGTGGTTTGTCTTTGTGCTAACTTTCAACGTCATTACATTGGCGTCTTTCATTCATTGTGAAAATGTAAATGTTTCTCTATGTTGATAATTACGATGTACTCTTGTCATTGAACCAAGGTTTTAGATACACTCTAATATATCGGCTTTGCTCAGCCTCATTTTTTTGTGAGTTTTTGTGCAGTGAACCTAAATAGGTCGGGCATGCCCTTTTGCTACCCTTAAGCAAGTAAAATGGCATGACTAAACTTATTATAACTTTACCATAGCAATGCAAAAAAACAAGTTATAAACATAGATACTAACACATGTAAATCATTTTATTTTTAGCTGCTAGCCGAGAAAGTGCAAATGCATTTCAACTTTCTAGTTTTCTAGAAAACATGTACATAGAGACCATACATCATGTTTGAAGTTGGTCATGACTACTATTAAAGTATTTGAGGGAGTACATTGAGCAAATTCTGTTCAAGTAGTTCTTCTCTTGTTTCTGCAATTGACAATGACCCTGCAAATAGTTCAAATTATAAATCAACGTACAACATTAGTTACAACTAATGTGCATTAACAAGTCAAATTATAACACAGCTATAGTTATTTATACTATAGGAATAAATTCAAGTAACTACCTGAATGATAAACGTTCGCCCAAAAATCCAAACTGGTGTCCATAACGTGTCCAAACTCAGGACTTGGTGTACTATTAGTGTCAGCCTCTGCACCATCCTTGAGACCAATTTGATAGTCACGATCCAAGTTTGCAGCGTGCAGAAGGGTTGAAGTTGGCGTCACCATATTGACCGCAGTATTTAGTGATTGTTGATCACTGATTGCAGAAATAAGAGCAATGAACAATTTGATACAAATTCACTTGGAATGGACAATTGAATCAGTGTCAAAAAAAGTACCTGAGAGGAGGAGGTTTATAATAACCATTCACAAAGTTCAAAATCTGGTCATAGGTAATATTATCTTCTGAAAACCAGCCTAATGCATTCTCTGTAGTTCCAGCAGAAGATCCATCTACATCTACACTTTTTATAAGATGTACCTAACCATAATAATTAATTTATAGTTGCATGTTGCATGGTGAGATTTTTACATAGCACATTTGAATGAAGAGACTAGGGAATGTTAAGAGAAGGCAGTTTAGTCATTATATACCTGTGGAGATGCCTGAGAAATATGTTCTTCCTCCAAGATACGCTGTTGACGAAAAAAAGTTTAAACCCGCTCCTTAAATTTCTAAGTATATGAAAAAAAGCATAAGCGAGTTTAGGTTTATCTTTAGCTATTATAAAACTTACTTTTCGCATTTGCACTTGTTTTAAAGTTTCTTGAAGGACCCGTTCACGATATTCGGCCTCACTTAATGTGGTAATCTCAGAAGGATCTCCTTCGTATATCCTAAAAATCACACCATCAAACAGTTATGAACAATGGACATGCTCTATTCCTCAAGAACATCTCAGAACCAAGTTTTGGTTTTCAATAAATATAAATTGTGATAAAGTTGTAAGCAAATGATCAAGAGAATGAAACCTTAGTCGATTCATCGTCTCTTCCAATCGAGACCTGCAGATGAGAATTTCTCTTTGAACCTCCTGAAATTAAGATAGATTTATCATTGGCGTAACACTAACACTAACACATAACATCATTTTTATAATATACAATGCTTATAAGCAAATACCTTGTGTTTTGCGTCTGCAATCGTCGCGCTGAACGCAACATGATTAAATTGTTTCAGAAACAAAAACCGGTTAGGTTACGTATAGGAAGTAAATACTAACCAACCATTAACAGAAAAGAGCTATAGAAAATACCCAGAAGCTTGACATATTTGATCGGTTTCGGCTTTTAACCTACTAAGAACCTTCCGAATATGCTGCATAAACAATCAAATTTCGTAATTACAAACCAATATTCCCAACAATATTTGAAAATTGACGTTCACTTTGAATAAAATCATTACCATATGGTGTAACAAGGCTCCGAAACAAAATAACTCACCTCTTGATTATGCATCCTTCATAGTTGCACCATAACAAAAGTTCCACAGATCAAAAGTAGCACCAACAAGTATATATATATAAACTATGAAGTATGAAGAACCCTAAGAAAACGAACAAACTAATCTCATTTACCTTCCACGTTCTCTATCTGGAATGTTTATATATCGATCAAGAATTTCTTCAACGCTTCAAAGCATACATTCAAAAGTTAGGTTTTCCAATTATTTCTTAAGAAATAAGCAATATAAGAAAAGAAAAGAAATACCTTCTGTGGCCAGAAAAGAGAGTGGCTTTACCAGAAGGAGAAAACATGATGAGAGCAACATCAACATCACAGAGAACAGAAAGTTCATAAGCTTTCTTCATTAAACCATTTCTCCTCTTCGAGAAAGTGACTTGTCTATTTGTTGTGTTCTCAATCTTTTTGATCTGAAGCTTCACTCTCCCCATCTATTTCAGTTAATTCATGATGCGAAAAAGTGAAATATATAGGAGAAAAGGGAGCAGCATTAAACACGTACGTCTTAAACATGACTCAATATATACCTATATAATTACAATATATAATTAATGATACTATAGGTTAGGTCAATACTTTCGCAAGTTACCGTGCATTAAGAAATTTATGTGGCAACAATAGAAGAAAATAAGGAAAAAAAAATTGTTTGTGTTAGGCATTTATAAAAAGTGATGACATGATAAAAGGGTGAGAAAAATGAGATTGATGGCAGTTTATGTAATGTAGATAAGGAATCAAACAACATTACAAATTTAATTTATATTAATCTTATGTGATGTAGATAAGGAATCAAAGAACATTACAAATTTAATTTATATTAATCTTGTGAAAGGTTTTTTTTTCTTTTCTTCTTTTGAACGCGAATTCCATCCTAAACCACTTGTATTTCATGTTTTTATGTTTTATTTAGTTTCATGATATCTCTTTTGAATTGTCATTTAGTATATTTAGTATAAAGTATGTTGAATCAAAATGAAAATAATGGATTTATCATTAGAAAACAAGGAAATTGCATGTTTGATTTTAAGAAGTAATATATCAAACACATTTATTCAATGTTTCATCGTCATTATGTGATTATGTGCTGCGAGTTTATGGACCCGTTTGTTTTAATTCTTTTTAAAAATGATTATTAGAGGGTTACATATTTTGATGTAAAAAATAATCCTTTATTTTATAAAAAATAAATTTAGAAAAAATATTTAAAAAAACATTTTTGTGGAATTTATTTTCAAAAATACAAATAAAAAATTCATTTTTTTTAAAAACTAAAACAAACCGGCCTCTTGTAGAATAATGCAAGCAAAATTTTTCTAACATATTCACACATTCAACACACTCTATTTTAGTTAAAATTTATATGAGTTCCACTGTATTTATATGAACCTGCATGATTTAGTCGCACCTATGCAAATTTAAATTAAAAATTATTGAAAATGTATATACAATAATGAGTTGTTATCAATATCGATCTTAAATTTGATATGAACATTTTAGAATATAATAATTATAATACAATTATTATATATTAATGATTATATTGATTACGTCTACTCGACCACACATTACCATGAGTGAAATGCATTAGGTAACTTATGTGACGACAATAGAAAAAAATAAGGAAAAAAATTGTGTGTTAGACACTTATAAAAGGCACATAAGGAATCCAAGAACATGTTTAAATACATTACAATTTCATATTATATTAATCTTGTGGAAGATTTTTTTTTTCTTTCTTTTGAACGTGAATTCTTACATAAACCACTCGTATTACATTTTTTTAGTTTCATGATTTCACTCTTTTAAATTGACATTTAGTATAAACCTACATTAAATCACAATGAAAACTATAAGGGTTTGTCTTCAGAAAACAAGAAATTACGTGCACTACAAGAAAATGTTGTTTTTCCTAGTGATTTAGTGACGTGGTAATCATGTGGGAAAAAAAATGTGTTGCCAAGTGATTCCCATGTCACTAAATTATTTAATTAATAATTTTGTAACTCTGAAATCTTCAACGAAATTTTAGAATTTTTAGGGGAGGGAAGTTTGAATTTTTCACAAATTCAGTTGTGACGTGTAAATCACAAGGGAACTGTAAATTCAAAAAGTTCTTTTTTTCCCACGTGATAAGCATGTCACAAATTATCCACATGCTTTTCACGTCGCAAAAATGATTTCCATTAATACCTTTCCACGTGTTCCCCACTTCGCAAGTTTCATTATATATCCCAGAATTTTCACCCATCTTTTTTCACTTTATTTCTTCATCTTCTTTCTTCAGCTTTTCTTCTTCCTCCCTTAAATTTTCAGACCTTCATTATTCTGCTTCAGACCTTCATTATTCTGCTTCACACCTCCAACGAAAATTTTACAAATTTAAGGTGAAACATTTGTATGTTGTTGTGACTGTTTTACCTTTCCATTTATTTTATGTTTTTTTTTATTAACTGTTAATTTTTTTTCCAGATCTAATATTGATTAAGGAGTTCCATTGGAAGCTTTTGAGAGGTATTTTTGCATTACAATTTGTTTATATATTTGATATATGAAATATTATTTTAGAATATTGATTAGGAAATTAATTTTTTTTTGTTAGATGTAAGTGTATATATATATACTGTGTTGTTGTTGTTGAAAGAAAAAATAAAAATAATATATTATGTATTTTTAATTAGAAAAATAGAATATATTTTACGTTAGAAACAAATAATATGTTATTAGAAACAAATTAGAAAAATAGAACATTTATTAGAAAAACAGAATAAAAATAATATGTTATTAGAAACAAATTAGAAAAATAGAATATTTATAAGAAACAAAAATAATATATTAGAAACAAATTAAATATGTTATGTATTTTTAATTTTTAAAAACAGAATATTTATTATGTTAGAAAAAATAGAATTTTTAAAAATATTTTTAGTAAACAATATTGTAAATAGAAAAAATTAATATATATTTTTTTAAAACATAAAAAATATGTATTATATTTAAAATGTGTTATTTTTAAATGTATTATTTTTTGAAAAAGTATTTTTATTAAAAAATAATGAATATGTACTAAATGTGTTATTTTTAGTAAATCAATTATATATATTATAGATTTTTAAAACAGATTTTTAAAAACAGATTTTTAAAAATAGATTATTAAAAACAGATTTAGTATAATATATATTATTTTATTTTAGTAAATATGTTAAAAACAAAATAACACATTTAATACATTATTTTTATACATTATTTTTATACATTATTTAACACGTGTTTGATTTTAAGAAGTAATAGATCATACACATTTGTTCAATGTTTCATCATGATTATGTGATTATGCGCAGTGAGTTTATGTAGAATACTGCTAGCAAAAATTCTCTAACATATTTACACATTCAATACACTCTACTTTAGTCAAAATTTATATAAATTCACATGTATTTATATGAACCTAAATGATTTAGTCATGCCTATGCAAATTTAAATTAAAAATTGCTGAAAATGTATATAAAAGAATGAGTTGTTGTCAATGTCGATCTTAAATTTGATAGGAATCTTTTAGAATTTAATAATTATAATACAATTATTATATATTAATAGTTATATTGGTTACATTAACTCGACTGCACATTACCATGAGTGAAATGCATTAGGTAACTTATGTGACGACAATAAAAAAAATAAGGAAACAAGTGTTTCTACTAGACACTTATTGAAGGTGACGTGAGTGAAGGGTGAGAAGAATAAGATTGGTGGCAGTTTATATAACACACATAAGAAATCAAAGTACATGTTTAAAAACATTACAACTTCGTATTATATTAATCTTGTGGAATGTTTTTTTCTCTTTTGAACGCGAATTCGGGCATAAACCACTCGTATTGCATTTTTTTTTAGTTTCATGATTTCTCTCTTTTAAATTGTCATTTAGTATAAAGTACATTAAATCACAATAAAAACTATGAGGGTCTGTCTATCTCAATGCTCTCCCTTAAGCGGAACCCTCAAGTGTTGATGTACCGCCGTTGACATTCTTCAACAAGACACTCAACCCACAACCTATGGGGATACTTTCGATACAAGTAAGTCGTTCCCTTTATAGGGAGCATTGAACATAGTGGGACTTTTTTTTCTTTCTAGAGCAACCTTTGTGAGAGACACACCACATACTCACCCAAAACCTTAAGGTGATAGGTGTATGGGTTCTCTCACTTATAAATGCTCAAGTCACCATATTTCTATCCAATGTGGGACTATTATCCACCCTACTCACACTTGAATACTTAACAAAATATGAGAGATTTGTCTTCATAAAATAGGGAAATCACGTGTTTGATTTTAAGAAGTAATATATCAAACACACTTGTTCAATATTTCATCATGATCATGTGAATATGTTCGGTGATTTTATGTAGAATAATGCTAGCAAAAATTCTCTAACATATTCACATATTCAACACACCCTACTTTAGTCAAAATTTATATAAATTCCATTGTACTTATATGAACCTACATAATTTAGTCGTGCCTATGTAAATTTAAATAAAAAAATTGCTGAAAATGTATATAAAAGAATGAGTTGTTGCCCGTATCGATTTTAAATTTGATAGGAATATTTTAAAATATAATAATCATAATATAATTATTATATATTAATGATTATATTGGTTACCTCAACTCAACCACACATTACCATGAGTGAAATGTATTAGGAAACTTATGTGACGACAATAGAAAAAAAATAAAGAAAAAATTGTTTGTGTTAGACACTTATAGAAGGTGACGTGAGTGAAGAGTGAGAAGAATAAGATTGATGGAGGTTTACATAACTCACATAATGAATCAAAGAACGTGTTTAAGCACATTACAACTTTGTATTATATTAATTATGTGGAAGCTTTTTTTCTTTCTTTTAAACACGATTTCCTACATTAATTGCTCGTATTGTATGTTTTTTTAGTTTGATGATGTCTTTCTTTTCAGTTGTCATTTAGTATGAATACATATTGAATCAAAATGAAAACCGTGATGATTTATCTTTAGAAAACAGGGAAATCTTGTGTTTGATTTTAAGAAGCAACATATTCAACAAATTTGTTTAGTGTTTTATCATGATTATGTGTGGTGAGTTCATCTAGAATAATGCTAGAAAAACTCAACACATTCATTACACTTTATTTTGATTAAATTTTATATGAATTTCACTATACTTATATGAACCTACATGATTTAGTTGCACCTAGGGATGGAAAAACAGGCCTGACTTGCCAGACATGCCCACTTTGACCATATTTTTTTGCAGGGTGGATTAACGTTTTAGGCCTGTATCTTCAAATATGTCTACCCGCTCTGCCCTATTTTTATATATAATTATTATATATTAATGATAGTATAGGTTAGGTCAATTCATCCACAAGTTACCATGCATTAGGAAATT